AAAAAAATTTTTTGAAGCTTCATTATGATGTTTACGGACTAAGTCTCTGATACCATTTAAATTGTCACGCCCCGGACCTACCCGGACACGTCAAAAACCCGCCGTACAGTACGAATAGTCAACCGCAGTCCGACTCATCCATACTATACAAGGCGTCTTGAATACCATTCACACATAGTACATCCATAAACAAACATAATGTAAAACATTTATTAAAGGCAACGGAAACAATTGATACAAGTGTTCAAGCCACACTTGGCATAATTTGGCATGCAAGCCCCCAAAGTAATTATTCAGAAAATATTATCCATGAGCATTATTCATATTGTTTTCAAAACAAGAACGGGAGAAGCACGAACCAAGTCTTCTCCTCAGAAACTTCCCGAAGCAGCGACTGGTAGTAGCAACCTTCAAGTTGTACCTGAAACTGTAAGGTGGCCTCCCCCGTGAAGGGGAGGTCAGTACTTGGAAGCATTTGACAAGTACAATGACAACTATACTAAGTATAATCAAAGTTTAAATCTCTGAGGCCCTCAATCTAGAGCATTATTACATTATAGTTAATCCGTTCATTTAGTATCAATTCATCATTTTTTTACCACGGTCTAGAGCCCAGCTCATAATCACCGTTATCTACTACGGTCTAGAGCTCCGCTCATAATCACCGTCATCTACTACGGTCTAGAGCCCAGCTCATAATCACCGTCATCTACTACGGTCTAGAGCCCAGCTCATAATCACCGTCATCTACTACGGTCTAGAGCCCAGCTCATAATCACCGTCATCTACATCGGTCTTGAGCCCAGCTCATAATCATCGATTCCTTATAATTCAAACTCTTATGATCTAATTCATCCATTTCTCAACTAACATTTCCAACTAATATTTCAATGCTAGTTATTTATTTATTTCAATATAACTCCTTCTTCTTGCATAATTGGCCTTAATATCAAGTATCACTTTCATACCTTCATGGCTTCTCCTCATGGCATCAAAGTATACTATCCCAAATGATATTCATGGTTGGTACAACCATCATACACACATATTCATAACATCTAAACATACACAATTTATTCATAAATTTGTGTATCATGCATACTATACTTATAATCAATAGTAGTTCTATTTAGGCATTATTAACCATTAACAACTTATGCACATCACACTTGTATTCACTTAGGAAATCCCATGAAATTAACCCAAAGATTATAAGTAACATAGTCGGTCATCCTCACTTTAATTAAGCTTAAGCGCGTTCTATGCTTCTCGATTGAACTTTGACTAATTCCGGCGAACTTTGACCAACTCCGACGAAACTCCGGCGAAGCTCAAGAATACTTTAAATCAAGTTCCTAACAAGGTTTTATCATCACAAAACCCATATCAACACAAATAACCTATAAAAGGTTATTTTCCGGCAAACCGGTCGATTTGGCTTCTAAGTCCGTTTTTGGACTTAGAATCACTTTCCAACCCATTATTCCACACTTAAATCATGTAGAACAATACTAAAGGTCTTTCATATGATATATATCTTATATGCTAGAAGAAAAAAAAAGGAAAAGTTATGATAAGGCCATTACCTTAATTTTCACACTTTTTCCTAGCTTTTTCCTTCTTAAACTTTCTTCTTGGACTCCCTTGAGCCTGAGTTCGGATTTGGGGCTATGGAGATGAAGTTGTAGAGGTTCTTTCCTCCTTTCCCTTGCTGCTGGCCGAACTAGTGAGGAGGGGGATGGGTAGGAATGCCCCTTTGTCTCCTTTTGGGCAATGAGTGAAAGGGAGGAGGGTCACCATGATTTGTTTTGATGCCAAACATCTCAAATCAGTCCTCTCCCACCTCAACTCTCCTACTAGCCTGCTCAGGCCCTGAATAAAGAGGCTAAAATCGTGGGTTGGCCCCCACCCATGTGGGAGGTCAACCCTTTTTGTCCAGAAGTGTACAATCGGTCCCGAAAGTTGTATTTTTCCGGACTGTTTTAAGTATATTTTATTTTATCAGGTCAAATAAAATATAACACTTGTTCCCAATTCTTAATGGACCTTAGAATCAATATGCATCCCTCAACTTTAATTTAGAAGTCTCCGAAATCCCTTTTCGGGCTGTTATCTGATAGATTGCCGATACTGATAATTTGGCCTCGTTTGACCAACCGGTCAACCCTATGCCATTGTCATGGCTCAACTAGGATATCCACCACCATATACATATTATCTAGTCCAAGATCAATATAATATGTGGCCCCGATAATATCGGGCGGTCCCCACTCCCGATGTGGGCCCCACGTGCATTTTACTATTCACGCGAAAAAATTTAATACAAATTCACAACTTCGTAAATTCACTAAAACTTTCATAGGGTTCAATAAATTATTAGCTTAAAGATAAATACATTTGGGGACGGTGTTACACAATGACTATGGTTTGAAACCATTGACAATATCGGCAAATAGGGTTACACAACGATTGTGGTGTAACGAACTAACGACTAGGATCAGATGTTCGACAATGGATTGATTGCTTTGTTGGGATCATGCTTTCGGGCAGTAGGAAGAGTAGAATGTGATAGAGGAGGCCACCGGCGGCGGCGAGGGTAGGGGTCACTAGGTGTTGGGCAGTGGGTCGCTGGGGATGGAGGGTGACTAGGTGTGGGTGGGTCATTGGGGCGGACCGGGCGGTTAGTGTGCTCACTACCTATTGTTGTCCTACAAAAGGCGTTAAACTGACTTTTTTCAAATGTATTGAGTATTGAACTAAGGTTATCCAATACTCAAGGAATAATCTTATTGTGGACTTTGGGTATGTAAAGCTTTATGAAAACCTAGTTATTTTGCAATTTAGATTAGGAACCAATAAAACAACAAAAACATCCGAACCTTATTCCCAAAAGATTTTAAAAGCGAAGACGAACGCAAAAGATTTTAAAAGATTAGGAACCAATAAAACAACAATAACATTCCTTTGAAGCTTGAAAGCGAAGACGAACGCGAAAACCAAGAATACTTGCAGAAGAGCGCCTCAGACCTCAAGGAAGGAAGCGGGGGATTGAAAACCCTAATCTTTCCAGCGATCCCGGTACTTATAGGAGGAGCGTACCCAGAGACACGTGTCGCGCAGAGACGGACAGGCGCGAAATGATTATTTCTACATCGGAAGTTGCACCAGCCTGCATCACTGTCGCCTAGAGCCCTGTGAAGGCGGCCAGAGAAGCAACCGTCACTTCAGAAGTGGGAAAGGCAGTGCAAGGAAGTACCGCGGAAATAGTTACTTCTTTATGTCCCGCGCACACTCGGAACATCAGAAGTGGGGGACTTTTGTTGGGTTAATGGCCCGATAAGGGCCGGCCCACCAACCCGTAAGGACCTCCTACGAACGTCCTACGAAGGCCCAGGAAGAAGGCCAAGTGTCAAGGCCCAAGGGCTATAAGATGCGCGTACCCCACCAGGGGCTAACACCAGGGCCCAAGGATCAGGAGACGTACAGGCTCCACTGTCAGCAGGTATCGAGGCCCAAGGCCCCTGTAAGGTCCACGGAGACGAGCGTCCCCAACATCTCGACAGGGCATCAGGGGCAGCCAAGTGCAGAAGGACGAACATCCCTTATTCCTATGTCTGGAGATCAGAGGAGATTGAACCCAAGCCCTTGGGGACGAATGTCCCCACCCCATGGCGGAAACCAAGATTCTGGCGGGGAAGCGCATTTAATGCAGAAGATTTAGTGGGTGGGATCATGTCGCCCACAACCAGCCACGTCGACGTCTCTAGCTACCCCTCGATAGTATAAATAGCAGCATTTATTTCACTGTAAAGGGTTTGCAATTTAGCACTCTCGCACTCTAGCAGTAAAAGCAGTTCGTAGCATAGCACAATATGTTCGGCCATTCGGCTTGTAATAGTTTGAGTGAATAAAGAAAGTTTATTGGGCCATTTTCCTACTTTGTTTTCCATTTTGTTAGTCCACTTCCCATTTGAAACCCTTAGGTTACGTGTTGTGCATGCGGGTTGAAGGAATAAACCTCAACAGTATTTGTTATTCTTTTGTTTTAGCTACACCCGGATAATGATCGGGGAGTCAAGAGTGATGATAACTGACAGACATCATTAACCTTTATCTTTCTTGGAAGGTAACATGACATCCGCTCTCAAAGATTCTTTGATAGGGACATGACCCAATTCCATGGTTCTTCTCAAATTTGTTGTTTTTATTCTATTTTATGGTGGTTTTTTAAAATATAGTAAAATTAATTTAATGGAGGAGCATTCAGGCAGCACCGGCACCGAGTCACCGAATTGTTAAGGCAAGAGTGGAAATGATGGGGGGTCACTTATCGGTTTATGTTGGTATCAATGGAACATAAGTGAAATCGTCACATGCCAGAGATAACGAGTCGTTGGAGGTCTTTGAAATACATGTCCTAGTAATCTAAAGCTTATAAATGTCATGCTAATATTTTTTTAATATTTTAAAAGTTGTTCCAATTTGTATCCGTATTTTCTCCTTTAGTATTACTTGGAGGTGTTTGTATATGATTCTGCTTCTACTTCATTTTTGAAAGCAAAAGTCTAATTAGAAATTTAGAATCAGCTATTCCATGTTTGTTTCTATGAGTAATTTGAAGAACCAAGCACTTTAACCCAATATTTTTACTCCAATATATGTTTGTGCTCCTTGAGGGTGCATAAACAGTTTTGAGAAATAGATCAAAACACTTCTTTAATACCATGCCATAAATTAACATTTTAGTTCAAATGTTTAACATTTTAGAATTATTTAAATTACAGAGTACGAGTATTATTTTTTGTCCTTTGAAATTCTAGTAATAATATTTTGATTGTTCTTTTATGCGTTTATGGTACTGTTTTGAGTAATAAAAGGCAAAAAAAGTATTAAGCTACTTGCTTTAAAAAGTTAAAAACAACTATTACAGTTCATGAGTTTGTTTTAGTTTTATTTGTATTTCCAAATATATTAATACTTTTAATTAATAACACATATTTTTAAATATTTAACATACAAAAGAAACTTTTAGAAATATATGAAGTTGCTCGCACAAGCACAAGGTGAGCATCAACTTAGCATAAAATGTTCAAGAAGAGTATTTAGAAGTTAGGTTGAGTGACGGGTGCGCAAAGCACCATTACAGGATTTACATACTTGTATATTTATATCTATTTGCTATCGAGTATTGAGTCCTTGTAGAACAAATCCAAGGGGGCATTTTGGTAAAACAATACCAGCTCCAGCCTCCTGTTTAGATTTTTTTCCACTGCTAGCTTTTCGTGTATGCCCAGAGGGGTATTTGGATGACACCGCTCCATGCTCCCCTGGCTCTTGCTTATGATCATTTTCACTTCCATCCTGCTGTTTATGCCCAAATGGGCATTTGGATGGCATTATAGCTGGCTCCCCAGATTCCTTCATGGGCTTGTTTTCAAGGCCGTCTAGCTGTTCATTTTGACTTTCATTGGGTTTCTGAATGGATATTTCGCCAGGTTGAGCAGCCCTAGTGAAAGGGCAAACAGGTGTCATTTTGACCAACAGACTGCAAACATAAATCAGTGATCTTTAAATTCAGGGCATGAAATGACTCAAGTCATGGATTTTTAGAACTGATGCTGAAACTTACTGAACATCAGTTTTTTCATTTGCAGTGAGCCAGACCCAATGATTTGGACGCAAAGTAAGCTAGAAGTTTTAAAGCGAAATGAATTTCAAGTTTCAACAGAAAAAGTAGGATATTCATACGAATTAAGTGGTTTACTTAAAAGCAGACAGATGATCTATAAACATATCACATCATTAACTTTCACATCAAAATACAGTCACCAAGTAGCCGACTCACTCTCCCTTATGGCGAGTCCCCGTTCAATACTCCATGGAAAAGCTTGATACCACAGACCCCCAAAAGCAAATATACGAGAGAAATATAAAGATATACAAAACCACAAAGTTTGCATCAGTGTGTGATGATCACTCACAGGCATACTCACGTTCTTCCCCACTTCGAAAATAAAATTCATCTCAGTGAAAGCTCCCGTCGGAAGTAATCATGATATATGATTTTGAAGCATATACATGTATAACTATTTATATCGGAAATTTAACTTAGAGATTTTTCCTTTGGATGGTTGATCTTCACCAGATGTTTCGAAGGATATTAATGCTTGAAAACAAAGCCACGCACCACCTACGTACAGGTGAATTGTGAAGGAGAGAAGAGACAAACCGAGATGAAGCAACCAGGCTGAACTGGGGATGAACACAAATCTATATCCTTTTGTTTTTTATTCATTTCTGTATTTGTTTGTTTTCAGATAATGACAAAAAATTAATGAAGGCTTATTTCGTAAATATTATTAAACTAAAGTCAAAAATAAAAATTTCAATGAAACTTTCCAAAAAGTGACAAATTTTATGAATGGTTTTCGGTGATTCATGATCTATCATTGACTTGTAATAATTCTTGTTCATTTACTCGCACATAGTGACTAATCATATTTTTGTTCAAATGATATAACTAGGCATATTTTTTGTCCAGTGAAACTCTGTTAGTGATATATGTTATATTTTCAAAAAGCATACTATCATCTTTTCAAAAGATAAAAGTAGAACTAATGTGGCCGCCTCTAGGGTTTGTCCCTAGGTAGTTTCTTCTGCAAATCGTCATGCGATTTTGAGCGGCCAGAGGATATCGACTATAGTTCATTTGAACAGTCTGTCGCTAGGGTCAGGGGCGATGCCATGAAAAAGTTAGCCAACCAGTATGATAACCTGGACATTGGAGGAGAAACGGAAGAACGACTCTTCGAGGAAGGGGAAGGCAGAGGAGAGACGAGCAGTGCATCGGAGGTATTTCCCGTGATCAGAACGATCCTCACTAACATAATGGTTAAATTCCAAGTTCTTTTGAGAGCTGATGGCTACTATTTCGTGTCCAGGGCGTGGACTATCCATAAGAACATTGGGGAGAAGAGTTACATTTTCACCTTTTATCATATAATTGATATGAATTGTGTCCTGGAGAACGGTCCGTGATTATTTGATAAAAGATTGTTAGTTCTTAGGACCATCAAGCCAGGGGATATTCCTCTTAGGGTTCCGTTGAATATAACTGATTTCTGGAATCAAGTGCATAATGTGACATATGGTTTTATGACATTGGAAGTGGCTAGAAGGATTGGTAGTCTAATTGGTGATTTTATTACTATGGATTAGTGTCAGTTTGAAGGAAAATGGGAGACCTATATGCGTATAAGAGTGGGCTGAGATGTTGGTGAGCCCCTAAAACCTTGTACGACTATAGGAAGGGGACGGGTTACTCAGTAGATTTCAAATATGAAAAATTGTCGAGCTTTTGCTTCGTGTGTGGAGTTATCGGACAAGTCGACAGGTTTTGTCCCTTGGAGTACGAGAAAGGGGAAAGATTATTAGAGAAACCTTTTGGTACCTGGCTCAGGGTGGGGGTGAAAAAATAGGCTAACATGATATAACAAATGGCTGGTTCCGAAGGAGGTACATCGGCAGGATTAGGTTTAAAATAGCAAGGATATAAGCACGATCGGGAAAAGGGGAAAGATGGCGATGTGGAGGAAGGTGGTCGGGAGCGGATGTTGATTCTGCAGATCAGAAAAGAAGGCGCTTGTGAGAGGCACAGGATATCACCGAGTAGGGGAGGAGACGGGGTGGCTCTAGATAAGCAAAAAAAATGGGGAAGAGGCGTGTTCTGGTTTTCAAGCCAGCCTAGGACTCTGTTTTTTTTTCTATCTTCAGGAAGGAAGACTGTAGTTTTTGTGGTTTTGGAGGGTAGAAGCAGTTAAATTCTACTAGTTACTATTTTATTTTATTTGTTTTTTGGACTCGTTAGATTGTTTTTTTTTTGTTTGTGATTTTTTATTTTCGTCAGACTAGAGTTTAGTTCGAGTGATGAGCGATCCGTTAAAATCGTATTTGGCTTAGGTTTGCCCATTATATCATCAGCGAGTCATATTACTTTTTGGAAGGTGACTATCTCTAAGTCTGGTTCGAGATCTGGTGGTTGGGAATGATTTTTTTTATCAGTTTATTACCCAACTTAACTTTGACTATTCAATATAAGTCACATTCTTCCACACAAAAATGTAGAACTATATTTCAATTTGGATGAAGAAGGAACAAATTAAGAATGAAAGGACTAACCAATCTGTCATACAAATATGAAAAATAAAACTCAAATCTTATCCCCACCTTCACAGCCCTCCTGAGTCCTGACACAACTCGGCCCACTCGTGCACCGCCCCCTCCATCGTTGGTCGCTGGCGTCATCGCAACATCACATGACTGTTGTCGTCTCAGCATCCTACGTTGTATTCATCGACGCCATACTCCATCGCTTGATACGTCGTTTCACTTCTTCTTTCTCCTTTTATTTTCTCCTTCTGCCTGAACGAATGAGATGATACCATCAAGGGAGGCGATAACGGTGACAACTAAAGACAATGTCAAAGATGTCACAATATCAAAGACAACCATATTTATAGTGAGGACAGGGTTCAACAATGATTTGTTTTACCAAGAAGCAGTTAAGGTTTCAGATCGGGGCGAGCGCAACGACTATGGTTTGAAAGCAGTGACAATATTGGCATAGAGGGTTACACAACGATTGTGGTGTAACGACTAGGATTAGATGTTCGACAATGGATCGATTGCTTTGTTGGGATCATGCTTTCGGGCAGTAGGAAGAGTAGAATGTGATAGAGGAGGCCACCAGCGGCGGCGAGGGTAGGGGTCACTGGGTGTTGGGCAGTGGGTCGCTGGGGATGGAGGGTGACTAGGTGTGGATGGGTCATTGGGGCGGACCGGGCGGTCAGTGTGCTCCCTACCTATTGTTGTCCTACAAAAGGCGTTAAACTAACTTTTTTCAAATGTATTGAGTATTGAACTAAGTAGGGGTGTGATCGATCCGGTCTGGGTCGGGTTTTTGCTAAACCCGGAAATTACCTGAAAGATCTCGGGTTGTGAAAATTAAGGACCGGAACAAAGCCCACTGACCGGAACAAAGACCGGGTTCGGTTCGGGTTCGGGTTGAGCCGGTTAAAGCCCGAATGTGAAATCATATCATTGTGTTTTTATATTTTAAAACCCATTTTTTAATAAAACAAATAAAAAACACAAGCCGCAAATAATAACACAAATATTAGTCTCCAAAATCACCAACAATTCAAATCTAAAGAAGGTAATTATCTTAAAATTTTGTTTAAGATGCATATAAATAAATAATACTCCCTCCGTTCTTTATTATCTGTCTCACTTTCCATTTTGGTCTGTTTTTTATTATTTGTCCTCCTTTCCATTTAAGGAAAGTTTTTACTGTAAATATACCAATATACCCTTCCATCTTTTACCCTCATTTATTATCCCTACACCTAAACTCATTTAATTCTCCCCACCCACCACCTTAATTACACCCCACCGCCTAACCATCTTCCACTTCTCATCCAACGCCTAACATTATCTTCGTATCATCACCCTCAACCTTTCAACTTCTACCCCCTCCTTCTTTCGCTCTCTTCTCGCACTACCATTGTAGGCCAGATGGATCTCTCGTCTGAGCAGATTAGTCCTTATCCATATGTCCTTCAAATGCCAGATTTACTTTCCGATTCAGACATCTGTGTGCCTGATTCACCAGTCCAACGTTCCGATTCTGACCCATGTTTGCCTGAAACGCCAGTCCAACATTTCAATGGTGGCATGCGTGTTCCAGATTTAGCGAAGACTGAAGCTGCGGACAACGCACATCTACAATGGACCGACGCATTGACGGTGGAAGCGTTGTGGATGAACTGAAAAAGGCTGGGATGAACTGTGGAAGATATTTTCTGGTACTGGAGTGTTTGTATTGCCCTAAAAAACCCAGATCTAAGATATTTAGATCAGGGGAATTAGGTGGCTGACATACCAATTGCATATCCCACCCAACCATTCTACCAACAACCTTAAAAGCTTCATCATTCATACCAATGTGAGGCTTTGCATTGTCTTGTTGTATCCATACAGTTTTACATGCATTAGGTGGGCATTTTTCTTTGATAGCTGGAATCAAAACTGTAAGAAATGCATTTCTGATGACTTCCTTTGTGATGGATGTGGTTGCCTTAATTTCTAGTGTGCCAGCAAGTCTGTTTTTGCTCTTTCTCTTTGATGCCACTGATTCTGTGAAAGGGAATATTCCATTTTTTCCATCCCATATAATTGATCCATCATCATGGATCCATGGTATAGCAATGACTGCCAGAAACATGACCTTGTTGATAAATCTTTTACTTAGACAACTTCTTTGAGGATCCTCCTCTGAGGGTAAAAGATAATATCGTTGAGTAACTTGGCTCATAAAGAACCACTTCTCATCCACATGTATGACATTGAACATTTTTGTAAACTGTGGAGGTTGAGTGAGGCTTCTTGGAATAATGTGACACATTGACCACTTTAATCTCTCCAGTTTGTTGTTGTCGTTCAAAGCAGGCTTTATTGCATTTGTGTGTGCTCTTATTATACCACTACTTAGTAACTTATGGACTTTGGAAACACTGACCCCTAGAGAAGCTGTCAAGCTTCTTAGGGTGGTCCGGTTGCTTTTTGGAATGGCACATATGTGTTGAATATCAATAGGTATCATTTTCCTGCCACAGTTCCCTTTCTTTTTACCATCTATGTTTATCTCCAAACCTTGTTCAACTTGTTTTTTTGTTGTTGCCCAGATTCTACCAACTGTTTTGGTGCAAACATTGTAGGTACTGGCAACTTCTTTAATTACTCCTCTCTTACAAGTCAACATTTTTGTGTCACAACACTGATTTGACTTTGATAACAAATCTTCTGCTATTATCCTTCTTTTTGTCTTTGTGATTGATATACATGGTTTTGCAGGTACATTACCTTCTGTGTTTGGTTCTGTGTTCTCATCAAATGGGGTGTCATCTTCAGAATCTGCAGCACCTTCATCTACTTCAGCTCGAACCCCTAGCTCAATAAGCATCATCTCTTCCGGAGGAATACAATCATAACCTGCTCCACTCATCTCAAGAACAAATCTGCTAGAAAAAAGGTACGGACAAGGCTGCAGTGACTTTGTTCTTTTGTTGCAGAAGATGTGCACAAAAGTTGTTTGTATTGTTGTGTTGCTATTTTTGGATAGAAGTGTAAAAAAAGATAGCCTTTTGTATTTATAGTGGGTGTCGTAGGCCGTAGGGCATGATTTGAAGGGAAATGTTCTTTTCCACATGTTTTGGGCGGCAATAGGAAATGGGTGTCGTAGGGCCTTTTGTACGCAACACTCATTGTTATTTGTACGAATGAGTGTGTTGAAACACTCTCTTTCCTTTGTTTTTTAATGTTTTTCTCTTTCCTTTCCTCCTCCACTCACTTAACTACATTTATTAATCTACTCTCTTTCCTACTTTTCCATTTAATCACATCCCACTACACTTTTTACTTTACCCCTACTATTTTGTTATTAAAATCCGTGCCAAAGGCTAGCGGGAAAGATATTTAAGAACAGAGGGAGTATAGGTTTTCTAAAAATATTACGGAATAAAACTTATGGATAAAAAAGTGACTAAATTTACTAATAAATATATTTCCATGGTCATTATGGTAAACAAATTGAACATATTTTTAGTCACTAAAAGTCACTAGGTCATGTTTTCATCCACTGTGATTATAATCATATTTCATTTCCTCTTTCCAATTAATCCTTTTGAAGTATGATGTGTTTCCTTACATCCACATTTTTAATAAACTCAAGAGAGGGACTCCTAAAGAGAGGCAGAAAACATTTATAAATAGTCAAATGAGCTTTATAGGATAACCAAGTTGACATTCAAGAATAACCAGCATACTGTCCCAAAGAAAATTTAACTATTAAAGATCATCATAAATATAAGAGTAAAAACACTCTAGTGGCTTGAAAGTTTATCTCAAATTACATTAGTAAACCCTATTGAACATTACAAAAAGAAACAGGGTAAAACTTAGTTAGCACATTAGTCAGTTTGTTCTTGTCATATTTTCCCATGAGTAAACCCCATACAGGATGTAGACAGTAAACACTATTGAACATTACAAAAAGAAACAGGGTAAAACTTAGTTAGCACATTAGTTAGTTTGTTCTTGTCGTATTTTCCCACTAAAACCTCAAGCATATAGATAATGTTTAACATATTTGCAAGAAAAGCTATTCTTAAATATAGGTTGAGAGAAACTAACCTATAAATCTACTACTAATTAATTTAGTTCTAGTAAAACACGGAATAATTTTTTCCCAAAAAATGAGTTTCCTACTTTCTAAGATATTAACACAGAAAAAATTATATTAACCCATCAAATAACCTAGACTCATAAATATAATATCAAAAATAAGGAGTAATGGTACAGAAGTAAATTCAAAAACAAAATATAAATGACAGAAAGAGGTTTACCTTTATCTTCTATAAATGTCAACCAAATCCGCAATAAGATCTTTAGTTAGAATGCCTAAACCTGGATTGAGTAGAAATCAATAAATTGTAAAGTTTGAGTCAATTATAATCTAAGCCAGTAAATTGTTTTTACTACCTCACATCACTATATATTGGTCTGTGATAATTAAAATTAATGAAATGGGAAAATTGAAAGAAAGAATAAAACAAAGCATAATTTATAATGAGTGCAATTAAGAACCAAAGAGTAAAGATGGATGCATGAAAATCATGAGAAGATGATGCAAGAAGAACAGAACATGAAACACTTTGAAATGGATGAACGGTTAATTCCCAGTGTAAAGCTAAGGGTGGTAAAAATAAACTTCAATACTAAATAACATGGATAAGTTTATCCTGCTTCAGCAAAAACTCATTGAGGTTACTTTGACTACAAAAGCAGTACTTCAAATTAAATTTATCAAAACAGTGAAAGGTACTCTTGTCAGTATGGACATCCAATAGGTCATCATTGAAGTCAGACCAGTTTGATTCAATCCATGGAAGTTTTGACAAGTGGTGCACGTGGAGCCAACAAAATTAGAAGGAAACTACTTATCTTAAGGTATCTAGAATAGAACATATAACAGTTGTTTCTTAGATAAGCTACAAATTTTGGTATTAAATTGGCATTACAAAATTGACGTCCAAAGTAGAGAAATTGCCTTCCTAATTTTATAGGCAAATAAACACAAATACTGAGTCAGTTAAGAGATACTATCGTATTATTTAAGATACAATTGCAATGAGAAAAAATATTAAAACCTTCCCGGTACAGTTTTCAGTTATTAAAAGTGCTTTTATTTTGCCTTGATTTTCAGTAAATTAAATGTGTCACATTGTGCATAAAACTACTCTAAAACCTTCCCTAAAATATTGGCAATCAGAACACAAAGCAGATTTGTGAAATAAGTAAATTTGAAAACTATATATCCAATATATCTAACTAAAATCAAAGATACTGAAAAACTTTGAAACTCAAGCTTGATCGAATAAAACAACAAAAGTGGAACTGCAAAACTTACCAAGTTTGTTTGAAAACAACCGTTCTTTCCTTTGATTCACAGTGTTTCTTTACTCACCAGAGGGAGGAAGCAATTGTCTTGGTTTTGCAAAATAGCTTCATCATGGATTGCTTTTACCTAATAACATCACCTAAGAGAAAAGGATGAAACAAAGATTATATAAATTACCTAATGTCAATATCTAATATCAAGGATAGAAATTAATAATGTAGAAAGAAATACTTGATTGAGGAATTTTAGCAGACACCTTCCTTACAAAATTGTAAGAACGTTCAAAGTGATATACACCTAACAATTTGGAATTCAGTTTAAAATAAAAAATGGATTATATGATTAAGAAGAATCGTTTACCTCATCTCGGTTTGAATCGAATGGACTTCGGATGATTCTAGCAGAAGAAGAACGAATGAAGGAATAGCCATCTCCTTTTTCATATCGATGATATCCGAGAAGATGACTTAGGTAGATGACTTTGGTTAGATTTATAATCATCTCCTTTTTCTGAATGATTTCGGTTAGATTAATAATCATCTTCTTTATCTGAATGATTTCGGTTAGACTAATAATCATCCCATTTTTCTGAATGATTTCCAAGCAAAGGACTTCGGCTAGATTTTGGAGAATTTTTCCGTCCGATGACAACAATGATTTTTAAGAAACTTCATGAATGCGATTTGCGAAGAAGAAAGAAGGAACGAAAGAAAAGGGTAAGAGGAACTGGTCGAAGATTTATCTGAAGCTTAAGCTCAATGAAATGAAAAAGGAAAGGCAGCCGCTGATTCGGTTTATTAGCATCGGACGGATATGGTGAAAACTTCTAGTGAGCGACTGAGCGGGAACTTTTTTTTGGGTGTTGTAGTGCTATAAAGGAGAGGATTAACTAAGTAGCTAGGACTTCAGGTAATCCATGTAATATAACCAACACTAAGACGAGCTTTCTAAAAGCTTGATGAACTTGTACAATTCCACCTCACAAAAGGATGGATAACCAAGAACCTAATTCGGATCATAGCCAAACTAAAAGTCTAAAACACACCAGGCCGCAGCCCATCAAATCCTCAGTCTCAACCAGTACATTTATGTTAAAAGCCAAGCCACCAGATTGAAGGGGAATGATGGATAAATAATAAGGAGTAAAATCAAGTGATCAGTTAGTCAGTTAAGTCACACAAAAAGCAGAGAAACCAAAGACAGCAGAGTGGCCGGTTAAATAGACCGGTCAACACTGTATTTCACCGGTCAAGTATCTGAGGGTCTCACCGCGCAGAGTATCATCAAACAGCGAAACACCCCTTTCTCTGTAATCTAGATTATCTTCAGCATATAATGATTTAATCCGGTTGTCATCCCCAAATGCCACAAGGATTGGCACAAACCAAAGAACTTCTGGTATTGCAATGGGAGAAGGCAGTTGAGGCCACGGCATCTCAGTTACTGGATTTGGATGACGCATAGGAGCAAAGACCACTTCAGAACCAGGATAGTCCTCCTTGATTTGGTTGTAGGAGTCACACAACTTCTCGAAGAGAGAATTAGATGAGCCAAAGTAAAGGAGGATGTTCCTGTTCTTGGACTCCGAAACTTTCAAGTGAGAAGAACCTCGTTTGCGTTTCTTATAGGAAAGAAACGACTCTAAGGTGAGTGACCTTAAAGCCGAAAGCTTGTCATCTAACCATTTATTTCTAGTGACAGGATATAAGTTGCTTGAGCCGCACCATTCCATAAGAGCTAAACCACTTATCTCACCAGAACACCCACCACCGGCCCAAATGATTACATCATCTTCGTATGGAACATCAGCAATTTGGTAAAGCCTTCTGCTAACATGGTCAACGAAGGGCAGCTCCCACCATGACGTTATACCCTTCTCTTTGAATGCCAACTTGAATGCTTTAGAGTAGGAAGACTCATCAGAAAAGTAGGATAGGTGTATGATCACAACCTCAAACTGTTGGTTACGCTTAACACATCTGCGACGGAACATCTCAAGACGGGACATAAATGAAGCATCAAAGCAAAGGTACAAGACAACACACTTGCTCTTGCTGAGGTCTGCAACAGATATTACCCTGTTCTTTTGGCTACTGCCATCACATTTGTGCAGGAGCGTTGAGGATTCGCAGCACAAGAGTTCCTCCAGGGTCACAGGTTCAGTGCTGATTTCATCTTCTACAGCGCCCTTGTAAAGAGGACCCAACCTCCACCTCCTCGACATCTCCTGGCCGTCGAGTTTTGATTGCCTGTAAACTGGATCCAACCTCATCTTGATTTCCTCGACTTTTTTCTTAAGGTAGTCCAAGTGGCTATCAGTGAAAGGGAAGGACGCAGCTCCATAATTCTCGAAACACAAAGTATCTGACTGCAAAACCCTTTGTTCAGGATCGAGAACAAGACAAGCATCACTTTCAGTCAACCTCGAACTTTCTAACCCGAGAAGCTTGCAAATTGAGTCCCTGGTGGAGGAGTCAGAAAAGGGTACAGCCAGGCAAGGAAACGCAGATAAAAACCAGTCGAAAGCAGGTTCCTCCTGGTCCTTGGAGATAAATGAGGATCTCATCTTAGCTACCACCACCATCTCAAAATTCAAGTTATTCTTCTGCAACTCATTGTAAGTTGCTATCAAGTGGCGGCATACACGGTCGGAACCGTCATTAGCAAACATAGGCACGAAGAAGCAACAAACAACCAAATACTTACCCGAAATCGCATCCATTAAACCAACTCTTTCCCCATTGTTACGGACAAGGGAATTTGTCTTACCGCCATTTGATAGCAAAGATAACACATCAACGGGCAATTTCTCGCCTTTCTTAATATTAAGAGGCTCGTTCTCCTCCATAAATATTTCTTCTGGAAACTCGAAAAAGACATGCGGTTCACCAATAGTAATATCACTTTTGATGGTATTTGTTGGATAAGGAAAATAATTTTCGTAGTCGAATAGCGAATAGGGGCGTCCTGGTCTCTTAAGCTTTGTTACGCAGCTGCAGGAGTTGGTGCTGCATCTCTTCAAAGTCCAACCCTCCTCCTTTTCGCGGCTGCTCCAACCCTCCTCCTTTTCGCCGCTGCTGCATCTCTTCAATGCCCCACTCTCCTCATTTTCACCGCCACTGCATCTCTTCCTCGTTTCCTCCTTAAGATCCATCATATCATCTATATATTTAGTAAAACAGAAAAGTGTGGGTGAGATTTGGGCGGGAACACTGTAGCAATTTGGGTGAGTAATTGTTGTAAACAAACAGAGCACCAAATAAAAAAGTATTGGAAGATCCAAAGTTGTGCATACGTGCAGTAACATTTGGGTGAGTCAAATTTTAGTGTCAATAAATGCATTAGTGATTCTGTCTAAGGGCTGTTTAGTTTCTCTATATTGCATTTCTCGAAGCCATTATTGCTACAATCTTGCCCTGTATAAGAATGGGGATGCTGTGAGACAGAACCCACGCTTAGTTATTGTGTCTTGAGACTGTTTAGCTTCTCCATATTGTGCTTTTCGTGGCCGATTGTTGCTGCAAATTAAGTAGGCCGTTGCAATTCAATGCATTAGCTTCTCCATACAGTTATCAAAATAATTCATTTATTTTATTTATGTTATCTATGTGGCTGTTGGGTTTCCCATGTTTTTGTTAGCATGATGCACTCATATACCTCCACCATACACTGCTATATATAGACCTGTAGATTCAAAACGTAACATCGTTAGAAGAAATCACATATCATGAGCAACCTATCTGAATATAAGTTCTAATATTTTCTTCTTTGTCACAAGCCACGACTAAATTCTACGGAGGATGAATTAGTAAAGTACCATTACATCCATATTATCTCAGCCTCCAATTTTTTTTTTGATTTTTTCATCGTTAATGCACTCAAACCGCTCTGCTATGTGCCTGAACATTAACTCATTTTCTTTTCCTCAAGTTTCTTAAATTTCAGCTTTACTTCATGTAGCTTTGACAAATGGTAGAAATAAAGAAACACAATTGAGATAGAAATATTCCCCAAAAGAATAAATACCGGGCATTCTGTGATCATGTCTGGCAATAAACATCACCTAATAACCATAATGTAAAGGTAATGTATTTCTAATCTCTATAACCTTCTTGAGTTACTGAATTGTTAATATTTCCTACCTTTACTAATGCATATTTAAAATTTTGAAAGTATATATTTTCTAACCATTGTTAAAGTGTGCTATAAGAAGATTATTAGCAAAGTACTTGATGTCTTTAACAATATGAATTATTCTTCACCGTCTATCTTTACTCATAAAAATGTATTCATGTTATAGGTTGAAAATGCAGGTTACTAAAAAGGAATCAAGTTATCTCCTTTTGTTAAATTTTTGGAATGAGCCCATTCATTACAGGTTTTTAGCAAATATATGCACCTCACTTCAAATTATTTGTCCGTTCTATTAGTCTATTATAACATAATTCAAAGCATTAAAAAAATTAGTGTTTAGCTTACCATCTGATTGATAAGCTTAATAAGCAAAAACACTACCAAATGGACACTTCATACATATTTGGTGTTTGTTTAATAGAGTGATACTAACTTCATTTGGTGTCTATTAAATGAAAAACAAACTTATTTATGATTTACCTACTAATCAACTCAATAAACTCAAATTATATAAGAAAACATAAACGTCACAGGATGCATCCTAATTTTCCCCAAGACAAATTGAATATTGTTTTAGAAGATGCGTTATATCCAAGAGATTGAATTATCCGATGTCCTACCCAACTAAATTTTCTTTAAAGAACTACATCAACAGTTTTTCCTATTAATTTTAACCTAACTACAACAGATCATTTTTAATCTCCATAAAACACATATAATTATAAAATATGTCTTAGAATAGAGATATCTATGATTTACAAAAAAATCTACAGAGTATTAAACATTATAACACTTTACAGGATTGCATGTTACATATATATATAAATATATATATATATATATATATATATATATATATATATATATATATATATATATATATACTACATATGAATTGGATATAGGTTGTTATAGATACTATGGTAGTTATAATAGAATAATAGTCTATATATACTGTGTAATTCATCATTGAGAACACATTTGCAAATTCTAATTAATTACTATAGTTAGTACCTCTCATTATATGTAAGCAGAGTGCTAAACGCGTGTCAGCGTAAACCCTCCGTTTAGAACCTTTGATCGAAAAAAGATTGTTCATGCATGACTATAAATTAAAATTAAAATAATGAGATTACCCAAGTAGATTATTTTGAATTCAAGACTCAAGCTTTAACCGTGCTCAATCCGCCGTACAAAGAAACTGAAATTGACATGCACCCAAGTCTAAATATGAATGGGATAGAAGATTGACCTAAATTAGGGACATCAATTAAAAAAATACCGGAACTAAGCAATAAATAGGAGAAGGACTGGAGTTATACCGGAACTACAGAAGGTAGGAAGGCGACTATTGAGAAGCGTGGATTGGCCGAACCGCCGAAGGGTAAGTGGTGGAATGCAGGCGACCAAGCGACGGGCGTGAGGCGAGTAGGCGACGAATGACGAGACGTGCTGCGTGCTGCCGTGCTGCTTGCTGCCGTGCTGCGTGCTGGCGCTGGCCAGAGGGCGACGTCGCGAAGTGAGTCGGCAAGGTAGCGGGGCGTTCGACACTTCGGCCGTTGACTGAGGTTGAAGTACTACGCTTTTGTTAATTTTGGGCCTTTGTCCAGTTGGGCCTGAAAAACTTTAGAATAGGCTGATTTAGAGGCCCAAAGAGATTTATTTTTTTGGGCCATGGCCCTTACCATTACTACCCAGGGCTGCCTCTGGTCCCGAGTTTTGAATTTGTATTTCTACTTTGGGATTTAGGAGATTAAAAATGATATAATTACATATCAATGACTAAAATAAATATGGAATTTTAGGGAAATTTCAACAAATAGGTGCAAAACTTACGGATTTTCCAAAACTAAAACCAAAGATTAGTGTAAGACTCAACTACATCTGCATTGACCACAATACCCTTACTTTTAGAAAATAAATAGACAATAAGTAGACAATAAACATCCAAGCCCCCAGCCCAGCGCAGCCCTCCGGCGTTCAGCCTGCCTCCACCGCCCTCCGACGTTCCAGCCGCCGCCCTCAGGTTTCTCAGTCGTCGCCGCCCTCCATGGTTCCAGCCCCTGTCCTCCGGCGTCTCAGCCTCCACCACTGGCTCTGGCATCTCAGCCTCCTCTGAAACCCTTCGGCGTTTCAGCCGCCCTCCGATGTCTCAGCCTCTGCCCCGCACCGGCGTCTCAGCAGCGGCCGCCCTCAGATGACAACCTCATCTGTCATCTACTCCAGCGACGAGGCCACAACCACACATCAGCAGGAAAGTGGATTGAAGGGGCTGAAGGGTAAAATTGGAAGGAAAAAATAGAGTTTCCTGAAATAGAATTAAATAAATCACACGGATGGAAAAAACATGACGAAGTCCTATTTTTGTAAACTTGCATTGATTTAGTCTCACAAAGAGCAATTTTCTCGGAATTTTATCAATCCATGACCTGAAAGATAGACGAACTATCAATTCAGGACCTCAAAGATGAAATGTATCGGTGTAGGACCCGAATGATTGAAAACTATCAATCTAGGACCCGAATGATTGAAAACTATCAATTTAAGACCTAAATTTTCAATAATTTTATTATTATATTCATTTAAAAAAAATTAATTTTATTAAACTAATAAACTTTTGTATAATATATTAAAAATCAATATATTAAAAATAAATATATTAAAAATTAAATCCTTTTCTTTTCCTAAATTTATTCAAAGTCAATATATTAAAAATAAATATCCCGTGCATCGCACGGGTATAATACTAGTATATACTTATGGCAATTGTTGCCGGAAGTATATATAAGAACAGAAGTTAGGGTACTGGGTTTTGATAAACGGTTGTTCTCCGCGCAAGTTTTAGGCGCACCCTTTTTTTCTAATTGGACAAATTTGTCCTTTGCGTAATTGGAAAATTTCGGACAATGAAACTATGAGTAAAACAAATGCTCCTTAATTACTCTGTAGTACGTAATGGGTATGTATTCATGTTTTTGTTAAATTATTACCCCGTATTCATGGGAACAATTTAACTAAAATAAATGGTTTTTGTATTACTTCACTTAATTGTATTGAACACATACTATTAATTCAACCTTACTTGTTTTGATTATTATACAATTCAACACATAAAATCAATATTTATATTTTTGTAAAAAAATTATTTACAAGATTGATAGTATAAAAATAGGGGTTATCAAACGGCTTTTAACAATTAGAGCCCGCTTGATAATACCAAATTCGATTCTGCTGAAATTAATGAATTCTAGCTAAAGTGGCTGATTCGACTTATGAAAACATTATGTTTAAAATATATTTTATTAATCGAATAAAGAAAACATTATATCAATAATAACAAAAATACTCATCTAGAGTAACTTAAGTCAAAACAGACCCAAAGTAACTTTAACTTTGTTTTTTCTTATTATTACAGTATTCAACACGCGAAGTCAAAAATTACGTGTTGGGTAAAAAGTAGACTAATAAGCCCGCTAAAACGAAAAACATAGTCACCAAAAGTAGACTAATAAGCCTGTAGTAAACCAATTGTCTTTAATTTTCATTTTTCTTGACTTATTTTTAAGGGAATACATGTATATTTTTAACATATGCATTATTATCTAAAAAATGTTTAATTTGATACTTTTTTGTAAAACTCAAAACACAAATGAAAAAGTAATACTGGTAATATTTTATAATAGAGAGTTCATGGTCACATCATAATTTAAGCATAAATTTTGAGGGATCCGCTTAGCAAAATTAGAGTACAATTTTTGAAGGGGATTCAATTACCACATGGAAATCGAAAGGGAGCACTTTTTTTAATTAAAAAATTTCGAAAGGGTAAAATAGCCAAACTAAGGTTACATTAAGTAATCTAAGGGGTGCGCCTAGCATCACCCCCTTGATAAATTAAGATCAGTCGGTGTCACACCCCGGACCTACCCGGACACGTCAACAACTCGCCGTACAGTACGAATAGTCAACCGCAGTCCGACTCATCCATACTATACAAGGCGTCTTGAATACCATTCACACATAGTACATCCATAAACAAACATAATGTAAAACATTTATTAAAGTAGCGGAAACAGTTGATACAAGTGTTCAAGCCACGCTTGGCATAATTAGGCATGCAAGCCCCCAAAGTAATTATTCTGAAAATATTATCCATGAGCATTGTTTTAAATTGTTTTCAAAACAGAAACGGAAGAAGCACGAACCACGTCTTCTCCCTTCGATCTTCCCGAAGCAACGGGCGGTGGCAACAACCTTCAAGTTCTACCTGAAACTGTGAGGTGGCCTCCCCCGTGAAGGGGAGGTCAGTACTTGGAAACATTTGACAAGTACAATAACAACTATACAAAGTATAATCAATGTTTAAATTTCTAAGACCCTCAATTCAGGGTGATATTACATTATAGGCCATAACCCTCGGTTACCCCTTTTTGCTATTTAAATCATACCTACTTTGTATGAAGTCAAGTAGTCGGCCCGTGGGCCCATATTCATTTAGAATTCATCATTTCCATTCCCCCGTGACCGCAAGTCACGATAACCCCGTGGGATCCCATCGAGCCCCAATTGTATAGTAAGGGCTCGCCCCAACTACATTTCTATACAATCCTCTAACTCAATATAACACGTCAAAATTGTATGGCAAGGGCTCGGCCCAACTACGTTTCCATACCAACCATAACTTTGTGGCAAGAGCTCGGCCCAACTACGTTTCCATGCTAATCATATTACATGGCAAGGGCTCGGCCCAACTACATTTCCATGTCATCCTAGAGTCCAACTCTAATTATTTTCATAATCCAATTCTCAAGCAAATCCTATGCCTAGAATCAATTCCCTTAGGTAGCCTTTAGGCCTACTCCTAACACACCTTAGTGTTCATACAATTCAACCTTAAAGTATCTCTTGAGACTACTTAAGGCATATCTATTCACAATCCTACCTCTTAGGATTTATTTCATCATTTATTTATATTAATCCCCCGACTAGTATTTTGATACTAGTTGGATAGTCTTAGAACATGCCAAGTTCCTATTTCCCAATTGATATTTCATTTCAATTGATTTTCCAACCCAAGTATAGTTTGATCCCAATATCAAAAATATCACTTTAATCCATTCATGAATTTCATACATGAAGTAAAAGTATATTTTATCACAATGTCATCATAGTTAATTCCATTAACATGCCGTTCCATTCATTTCACATAATCATACACAATTATTCTAAATTTGTATATCATGCTTCACTTACTCATATCAATATTATTTTCATTTAGGCATTATAAATCATTAATAATCCATGAAAATCCCATTTAATTACCTTAGGTAATCTTATGAAATTAACTAACTAATTATAAGCAATATAGTCAGCCATCCTCATCTCGTGATGCGCTACAATAGTTGCCTTTGTTAAGCCCCTCGATCAATCCCCGTTCTAGGCCGATTGAAAGTGGAAAACTGGACTGGTGAGCAAAAGCCGGGCGGCTTTCACGAAAGCCGGGCGGCTTTCACGAAAGCCGGGCGGCTTTCGTAGTCTGCAACTACGAACAGTTCCTTTGAAGTGGCGGTTTCCGGCGATTTCGACTCCTATCGATTTGCCAACCCTCCTAAGTTAATTACCGCCGCTTTATATCAATATTCTACACTTTTAAACGTGTAGAACTCATGGTTTAATCCACCATATGATTTCTCAAAAATCATACACAATAAACTAGTTAAAAGATTGTTTGTTGAGTTCTTACCTCAAGAACAACCCATTTTTCCTTGGATTTCCCTTGTTGTTGCTTCCTCCACACTATGGATTAGCTGAGAGAGTTTCCTGGAGCTCTTTCCTCTTGGTTGGTTCGAAATTATGCAAGAGAAAGGGTGGGTGAAAGATGCCCTCTCAATCATCCCATATAATGTAGGATAGGACTTGGGGTGTGGGATTTTGTCTCTTGGAGACTTCACACCTACTAGGTACGCCCCCAGCTGTCTTCCTTGTCATTTGCAGCACATAGGGTCGTGGGGTGGCCCCCACTTATGTGGGAGGCCATCCCATTATGTCCCGGTGTGTATAATTGGCCCCGAAAGTTGTATTTTTCGGACTATTCTAGTCATATTTTATTTTATCGGGCCGGATAAAATATATCACGTGTTCCCAATAATTATGGACCTTTAGAATAGATGTACATTCTACAACATTAATTTAGGAGTCTCCGAAACTCATTTCGGACTGTTATCCGCTAAATTACCAATACCGGTAATTGGGCCTCGTTTGACCCACCGGTCAACTCTATGCCCTTCCCATTTCCCAATTAAAATATCCACCTCCTTAAAGATGTCATCTAGACCAAGATGAATATAATATGCGGTTCGGTAATTTTCGGGCGGTCCCCGTTCTCGCTGTGGGCCCCACATGTGATTTACTAAGGGTGGGCATTTCAGTTTTCGGTTCGGTTTTCTTCGGTTTCGGTTCGGTTTCGGTTTAATCGGTTTGATAGAAAATGTACCAAATACAAACCGATTAAGTTTCGATTTGGTTTCGGTTTGGTACGGTTCGGTTCGGTTTGGAG